TGGTAAATTGAAAACAGTCCTCTGAGGGATTGAAATGTTCATTCCTTTGAGCCCTTCTTCCACCCTTATCTAGAACCTGCCCGTTTCAACCTGTTGCTAAGGTAATCCTAGGAAATGTCCCTCCTTACAGGGAGCTATAAAGTTGTTAATTAATGTGTCGTGGGCTACTCCTTCTGTGCCTTCCCCTTTCAGCACACCTGTTTCCCAACTCTCGGCCATCCCACCAAGCATTCCCGGAGGTAGTCACCTACACCTGAAGGAGAGAGATAAGATGAAGAGAGCCGGAGAAGAAAGGAATCCTAGGACATATAAAAAGGGCAGAAYGCCTGGCTTCTTCTCCCTTCCAAGAGAAGTCGTCACTCCTTAAATAAACCTGGCTTTATATGCTCGCCTCAGTGTGCTTCTCTAATGTTCACACTTCAACAGGTGAGGAAGCAGAACTCATCACCAATAACCAGTGATATAAAGATTGCTATTGCTGACAAGAAGGCATTCCACCTGACATCTTTATACACAATGCAAAATGTGTGTGTGTGTGTGTGTGTGTAACGTGCGATAACCATAATCATTGTGGTCAAAATCCGTGAAAATCAGATGAAAGGAATTCTTGATAGTCCTAGAAACTTCGGCATATGCCACAGAAACCTAAAAATCAAGTACTTGCTGTTTTTCATAACCAAAAAAAAAAAAAAGAAAGGTCTCTTATTCCATTTATGACAGTTATCAATGTGTAAAATTCACAATAATAAACAAAGTCTCAAATATATAATGAATGTAATAAATGTGTGTGTTTTTTGTTGTTGTTTTTTCTTTTTTGGAGGGGCTATATATGAGATGCTTTTCTATTGCAAAGATATGTGTGCTCTGTAATGGGCAAAAATCATTACAATCAACAATATCCTACAAGTTTATAATTAAAAACATAGAAACAGTGTCCTAATAAAGAGCCAAATGGATGCACATTCCCCTAGAAGACTTTTTAAAAGCTTGGGCAGGCCTTTTAGACTATGTGCTCATATGATAGTGAAAGGAAATATAATCCATTCTTTATCTCAATCTATAGTTTGATTATTTCTAAAAAGGGTTCAGAACTATTCTCCATACATCAGAGTCCATACATTCATGTGTTTAATGAGCCACTCCTGCTGAAGAAACTGATTTATGGCTTCACTTTAATCTTYTCATCATGTTGTTACAAATGATGTCTTGAGATGACCTTCAGAACAAGTGTTCACTTATGGAAAGAATGTGAAAGGATTCAGTACAGATTCTAGCACCTTTTTACCTTCAGTTAATACATATGACACCTCTTAAATTTTTGTTTTTTGAGGGAGGGAGATGGATAAAGCTGAGGATCAAACCCTGCAGAGACTCTTATATCCTAGGCAAGTAAGTGCTTTACCACCAAGCCACATTTCCAGCCCCATGTCTACTATTTTAGAAGAGCTTACTCTTACTAGAAATAAAAACAAATAAAATGGAAAAACTGCAAGATATATTTCTGTGGATTCTCATGGTATAGCTCCTTGATATCCTTCCTATACTCATTTATCACATAGCACAATATTTCATTTGTCATTCTTTCTGGACTCCRAAGAAATCAACCTGGCTTTCTTATCTCATTCTTTGCTTCAAAAGAATTTTACTTTCAGGAATAGTAAAAAGCTTCACACTTTGTTTTTGTTTTCAAATTTTTTTTGTGTGTTTTTTTTTGGGGGGGGGGGTTGTTTTGTTTTTTATAAAATGCCTTGTGCTTCCCCAATGACTACTACTTCTAACCTTCCGAACTTTTATTGCATATATTTAAGCTTAAATTTTCATAGACACCAATTATTTTAATAATCAGTTTTGGATGCTCACACTTTCAAGGGCAAAAGTATAGTCTCCTTCTATGGACACTCTACTTTTGAATAATTCAAATGTTAATAATTTTTCTGGCTGTCCATTATCCTTGCCTTGATGAATAATGATATATTTAACAAGACAAATAYAATGATATATTTTCCAGCACGATCAATTTTTTTATATGTCTCATTCTGTCTTCACTCCAGTATCATATTAAATCTTATTGAATCATATTCAAAATCCAGTGTTTGGAAACCTATGCCATCAACATTTAATAAGAAACCCCAAACACAGGAGGAAAGGAAGATCCTGATACTACTACCTATGGAATACAAAATAATACCAAACATTTTTTATATTGAAATATTTCACACTTTTTGCAAATCTTCATTGGGTGTATATTTTACTCAAATAATATTTACATTTTATTGGAGGTAACTGTATCAGCCTTAAAATTACAATCATAAATTAATTTCCTATGAGTTGCTCAAATATACCTGATATTTCCTAATTAATGCAGAGTAGCTTTTTAAATTAAATCACATTAAAAAAATTCAGTCCTTAGGAGCAACATCCATATTTCCAATGTTACAAGTCGCTCTACTTTATCCGACAGTGCAAATCCTAGGAGGAACTGTTAGAGGTGTGGAGGTGGTCATAAGAAGTGATTAAATAAATTTAAATGTGATCACAAAAATTTCACAATGACTTTTTAAATCAAAATTTTACACAAACACAGAGATGGGAATTAGGATAGCAATTGAAGGTAGAGCCTGGCTGCCAAAGAGCTTAGGAAGAGATTCAAGAGCACTGAAGTAGAAGTCCATCTGTGGGCCCACAGACTTCATTCCTATTACCCAGTGGCTCTCAGTTCAGTCCTCACTCCCTAGAGCATTCTAACAGTGTCAATAACCCTTTCGATTTGATTCAAAGTGAACAGTTTCTTTTAAATCGGAGAGAAGCAAGTAAATCATGCATATTCGACATGACAAAGAGTATAAAAATTCATCCACAACCCTAAGCATGGCTTCAATCCTAAGGGTACTTCTAGGTGACAGAATCAATGGGCAAGCAGGAACACACAGCACTCTGTCTCCTCCTCCCTCCGCCTATGGGTTTCGMAAGCACTGTGGGCGGTGACCAATGATTTTGGAACAATTTGTCACTCTTTCCCGCCCTCATGTCCGGTTTTCAATAAGGTCCGCATGAGGACTATAAACATACGTTTTGCAGCATTGTGAGCTACTCGTCCCCAACTTTTAGCCATGTCTGGTCGCGGGAAAGGAGGCAAAGGCCTGGGCAAGGGCGGCGCCAAGCGCCACCGCAAGGTCCTGCGGGACAACATCCAGGGCATCACCAAGCCCGCCATCCGCCGCCTGGCCCGCCGTGGCGGCGTCAAGCGCATCTCCGGGCTCATCTACGAGGAGACCCGCGGCGTGCTCAAGGTGTTCCTGGAGAACGTGATCCGCGACGCCGTCACCTACACGGAGCACGCCAAGCGCAAGACGGTCACGGCCATGGACGTGGTCTACGCGCTCAAGCGCCAGGGCCGCACCCTCTACGGCTTCGGCGGCTGAGTTTCACGTGCGCCGACGCAGAAAAAAAATCTCTAAACGGTCCTTTTTAGGGCCACTTTAATTTTCACTCTAAAGGGCTGTGAATTTGCTTTGCTTTTGTCTTCTCCTTCCTGCAACKGAAAATAAGGTAATTCAGAGGGTGTGCCGCTCTAGTTTACTTTGTTCCATCAACTGCTGTGATTGTTTACTCCTTGTTAATGCGGTCACGTCAGGGAGYGAACCCTTGCCAATGAATCACAATGGGATTGGTCTGTAGAAACTCTTGGGAGTCCACCAGTAAAAGGCTCAAGTTGTCCATGGTTTAGGAAACRGCGTATTAACCCACCTGTTATTTCTCTTGCTCCATGCTATTTTATAAGCCTTMGCTTTGATTTCCTCTAAAGGTTTTGTGTATTTTTGTCAGCTATAAAAGCAAAACAGGTGCTTGCCTATAGCATTATTTTAATAAACACCAAGAAATAAATTTTTAAATATTTCAAACGAGTCAGGTAAAGCTTGTCTTCTGTATCTTGGTCTTGAAAGGCAGCAAAACATGCCATTTGGGAGTAAAGATACAGAACAAAATTGGGAGTGGGAGAGGAGACGGGTGTTAGGCACTCTCCCCTTGCCTCTACTTTCTTTGCCCCARCCCAGGGAGATAACCCTTCATATGTAACATGCCCTCCCTATACCTGAATGAAAGTATTTTTATCACCACAGTTCGGCAGGCCTGTGAAGAGAAATCTACAAAATAAGCCTTATTGAAGAAAGGCTTAACGTCCAAAGTACTGTTCCACCATTAATGACCGTAGCACAAACCCCCCCCCCCCTTTAATTTTAGATGGACACAATATCTTCATTTCTATATGGTGTTGAGGATCTAACCCGGCGCCCCATGTATGCCAGGTGAGTGCTCTACCGCTTGAGCCACATCCCCAGCCCACAAACCCCCTTTTTATGTCTTCATCATTTACTCTTCTGTCAGATTCAGTATTTAAGCATTCAATTTCTACGTATACCTATGGGTCTTAATTTTTATGATCTCACATGTCACGGAATAAATGTGTATCTTTCTCTTGATAATCTTTGATAACATGGATCTCAGCCAAGAAAACGGGAGGTTAAAAATGAATTGGAGATTTTTTTTTTCCTGTCCTAGTTTTTACAAGAGGTCACTAGCAGTAGCCCATTACAGGCACCTTCAAATGGTGCACTTCACCTCACCTCTAAACCAGATTCCTGCGTACAGGCTAATAGAATCAATCAGAATACCATGGAGTGGTATATAGTCAGTCTTTCTTTTGGTTCTTAGACATCTGTTTTTTCTGACAGTACTGAAATGGAATAATTCGTAAGGTGGCCTCCACGCTATTGTGTGAACATAGCCTGTAATTTTTAATCTACTAAAAGACTTACACTTAAAAAAAAAAAAAAAAGTAAACTATCCTGTTTCACTACTATTTCACCATCAAATATCAAGTTCAGGACCACCACAGACAATTATCATGGCTTGGTGGTTTATTTTAACAGTTTTTAAGCATTGGCATGTGCTCAAATACAATTGAAAAGGTCATTTCACTTTCAGCAGCACAAGTATAAATGGTCTACTTTCAAGACAGGAACCATATGCGACCACATCTTTGTGTGCTTTGTGGATGCAAAACACAGTTCTTGCTCCAAAAAGAGGTAATGTATTCTGAGCCAAATATGATTGGCCAAGGCATGGGAATATGTATTGAGGTCACTCTGAAGAATATGCTCCACAACACAAGTGGTTACGTAAAATTTAATAATCACAGACACACAAAAAAAGATAGAAATCAATGCATTTACTGTACACACTGGTGGGGATATAGACCGGTAGGGCTGCAACAGAGTGGGGAAAATACTTGTATATAGGTTTCAGATGTTATTTTACAACATTTTTACACTTGAGKATTGGTGAAATGTAGAGGTCTGCAAAGCTGAAAAGAAACTTCCAAAAGATTTAACTAGTAGTCACAAGTATATTAGCTYAGATACACAGGTGGTAGTAAATGGCTATTAAATTGATTAAGGCTAGCCCAAGATCATTTTGCCTCTCAATCTTACAGCAGTCCATCTCTCCACAATTAAGATGTTCTAGTCAGCCAAGCAGCTTGCAGGATCTTCAATAGAGCGGTGGCTTCTTCAGAGAACTTTAGATCATACCTCCAGGGAATAACAGAGCTCTTAAAATCCATCCCTCTCCATATCTAAGTGAAGGAAACTTAGTGACCCAAACTAAGTGAAAGCGGGGAACAGAAAAATTTAATGTACTAGGTAACAACATTAGACTTTCAGGTTCAAAAACACACTCAGGTCTTTCTGTACTGTAGTAGTGACATTACATCACCTCAGTAAAATGTATTTTTCAATTTGTAAAGCACATAAAATCAAAAAGTAGGCAACATATTAGAAAGCACCCAAGGCCCAGTCATATAAGCATTGGGCAACATTGAACTTCGCAGTTAGCCAGTATAAAATTATGAAAGCTAAATATGGGACAAGTTTGAGAACATTCAAGTATTTAGAAAATCACTATATACAGACCTTAAGGCCTGAAAATAAATAAATAGTATAAAGTAGTACTACAGTAGTCCAATTTATTTTTTGATTATAGCCCCTGCTGCTCTGCCACTGAAACATTTTTTAAATGGACTTCTTTCTTTCTCTTTTTCTCTGCCTGCTCCTCCCTAATCTCTCCCCCTCCCTAATCTCAGGGCAAATACAATTACCTTTCTTCTCCATCCTAGACAGTTATTTGTCCTTGAGCACATGTCCACCATTGGAAGGAAGTAATTCAGACTTTGGGGATGGCAGCAGATCTCAGAAATGACTATCTCCCAAATTAACAAATGAATTAGAAGTCTAAACAGACAACAGATTGAATGTAGCCTTTGAATCACACCTTCCAAAGCCCCCAGTTCCTGCTGATGAACAGAATCACAGCCTTTGGGAGAGGAGTCCCCAGTGTTTCTCCTCTGCAAGCAAAGTAGTAAACCTTCCTTTTCTTTTTTTCTCAAAATCACGTCCTCATTATGGGGTTGGCATCAGGGACAATACCAGGCTTTTGGCAACACTACATACATATAGGGACGGGAATTTCCTCCTATACAGTTCCTAAATTCTGCTGCACTGACTAAAGTAAACCACACACACTGTCATAATGTTTCCTCCTTAGGTAAAACGGGTCAAATGTGAAAAGAAGATAAGATATATTTACAAAACATAGTACAAGTACCTCGATCTGGCAAAAGTGAGTGGCTCTGATAAAACTATTTGATATCTAAAACAAAAACACACAACATCTGTTGCGGGTAAACTTATTACAAGTTTAAACTGTATTTGGTAAACTCCCCGGACATCAATAAGCACACAGCTATCTGAACCTCCCTAGAGCTGACAGTTGAGCACTATAAGTGCCAGGAGAGACTTCTCCATGCTCTGAAACACATTCAGGATGCCCAAGGCCTTAGACTGATTGCCACAATCAGGATGGACTTTATYCAGGACCTTACGAACTTACATAAAATAACTGCCTTTGCTGTACTGTTTGGGTTTTGTGTGTGTGCATGGGTGATCCTTCCACTGTGTCTTAGCTCTGACATTTTGGAAACTAGTAGTCTCTTTCTAAAATGGCTTCAATAAAAAACAAGAAAACACAAAAATTTAGTTCCACTAAGAGGCGCTCAAGGTCCTATTATATAAGCAGACTCATGCAAATCAGGACTTAGAAGTCTACGCTCTGATTGGACCATACTACCCAATGGACTAAGAGTATGTAAATTGTGCGCTTCCAATCTGCTTTCTTTTCATTGGCTGAAAAATGAACTTGCTGGGGAGCCAATAGGCTGATTTTCGTGCCATATCATAATTKTCTTTATTGAGAATTTTTCCCAGTAAATGTCTCTTTTGAAAAGATGTACCAACTGTGGCGTTTGAATGTTAAAACAAGTAAAGGAATCCTGTTGTCTGGGGTCAGCTCTGCTGATGTCTGAAATTGCGCAGGACACCTCCGATCTCTCCAGCAAGAATTCCGAGACCTGCGTCACGGGTCCTGAAAAGACACGGCGGCTCTCCGCCGCCATCTTGCCGGGGTTCGCGTCCGCCTTAAAGAGCCAGCGACAAGTTAGAGGATCATGCAGCGTGTGCCCAGTGGGAAACAAAATTATTTACTTTGGAACAGAATATCATAAAAGACTGTGTCTAAGAGGCTCAGATATTTACAGTAAATGTAACTAAGATTCAGAAAAGATGCGTGATCAGTAGATAATGGACTTAGATGTTTTTCTTATTTTTTTAGCAGTGCTGTATTGCACCCAGAACCCTCACGCATGTTATGTAAGCACTGCACCACTAGCTCACACTCCTGGCCTTGGACTTTTAAATAGGCGGATGAGGACACTTGGATGGAAACATTAAGTATGCAAACTTTTTTTAAAAGCTTTTGAAAACTAGAATCCTAAGGCAACTCATTCTGTTTTGTMGAGCGGAACAATAACCTACGATTGTTTCTATGTAATGTTAGAGGTATGACACATTGTCAAAGTAACTGCTCAGAAAACGGTTTTTAAAGGCTATTTAACAGAAATTGCCGCTCAAAATCTGCACTGAACGGAAGAAGCAAGAGTGAACCACCCCAAGCACTTCCGGACTCCACCCACGGAMTAGGAGGGCGTTCTTCACAATCCAATCGGAGTGCAATCCAATCAGGGCCTTTCTGTTTGTATAAATAGAGGAGCCAGCAAAACTTCCTCTTCTGACTGAGCTGACCCAAACTCATGGCCCGCACTAAGCAGACAGCGCGCAAGTCCACCGGCGGCAAGGCGCCGCGCAAGCAGCTGGCCACCAAGGCCGCCCGCAAGAGCGCCCCGGCCACCGGCGGCGTCAAGAAGCCTCACCGCTACCGGCCCGGCACCGTGGCGCTGCGCGAGATCCGCCGCTACCAGAAGTCCACSGAGCTGCTGATCCGCAAGCTGCCGTTCCAGCGCCTGGTGCGCGAGATCGCGCAGGACTTCAAGACCGACCTGCGCTTCCAGAGCTCGGCGGTCATGGCGCTGCAGGAGGCCAGCGAGGCCTACCTGGTGGGGCTGTTCGAAGACACCAACCTGTGCGCCATCCACGCCAAGCGCGTCACCATCATGCCCAAGGACATCCAGCTGGCGCGCCGCATCCGCGGGGAGAGGGCGTAAAATATTTTGCTGAGTGAGTGTTCGATTAAGGTTTAAAGGCTCTTTTCAGGGCCAACTACATCTTACTGGAAGATGCTGCAGTACTCGCAAAATAATGGATAACTTTGCACTCACTTAAGGTCAAATTCTTAAGTGATGTGCTCTTTTTGCCCTTTTAAATCGAGCGCTTTTTCCATGGTTTTGTTTTGCTGATTTTCTGCCCTACTTATAAATGCAAAGATTTATGTTGGTGTCTAATTGACAAGTCTTTAGGGACTTTTCAACTTACACTTGGTTTTCTGTTTCTTGGCACTATTTCATGTGATGGCCGTCCACCTTAGGCACGAACACTTAAAATAGTTGGATTTACATAATTCCACTTTGATTTTGAAAATAGTCCAKGTTGTCAAGGCTCCTGGTATGCATTAGAGGATACCTTTTCTTGCGAAGTTACTGAGGCCCATCTCTAATTCTGCAAGCCAGCCACCTCGTGGCCCTGCATGCAACCCTTATGGCCAAGGTTTCGATTATWACCCAGAATATGAAGGACAAAGTACTTGGCAACGTTCATTATATCATAAAACCCTGRTCCTAGGGAAGGAAGCTTATGTCCAAACAGGACCTGAAGGGAAGGGAGACAGCAATTCCATTCTGAAACTACACAGGCAGACTACCCTGAAAATGTAGAAGGATATGTATGGCGGGAGATTTCATGTTAAAAAGTCCAGCCTGGGCAACTTAGTGATACCCTTCTCAAAAAACATATTCTTAAAATAGGAAGACAGGACATGTGGCTTGGAATAGAGAACCAGCTGTTTTAAGTTGCAGGCTTTCTTGCAATTGCCAGAAGGCCCTTCTCAAAAAAAAAAACAAAAAACAACCAGCTGGGTTGAATTCCCAATATCACAATAAATGTTTAAGAATAAAACGTTATTAAGATATGCTGTTGGGTGGTAAAATCAATATAGGCCATTTCTTTACACAAGCAAAGTAATCATAGTAAATCCTGGCAATTATATAAAAGAAATTTATAATCATGGAAAATCTGCAAAACATTTGAGACTTGAGTGCTCTGAACTCAGGCATTTGAGTATCTGAAAAAAAGATCAACTGTCCACAATTAAAATACTAGACTACTAGATATTTTTAATATTATTGACCCCTACAATGTTGGAAAAAAGGATTCCACGATTGAATGTATTACTATAAATTTGTTCAAATTCTGGCACATAAGTTTTCAACCTCTTTCTGTCAGAGTATTGGACTTTGAGGAATGAMGATTCAGTTGGCACACAAAACATTGTACCATTAAATCCACCAGAACACCTAGGATCCTCCTTTGCCTTAAAAAAAAAAAAACCTCAGAAAATATTTTGATCAAATTAACACTTAAAATAAAAGATTATTTASCAAACAAAACTTACCATTGAATGCATTCCTGGTTATATAGTTTTATGTAATGTATATATGTGATGTATACCTGTTAATATATTTTAAATAAGGTTTATGTAATTTCAATATATAGTTTTGGTAACTGAAATAGGAATAATCAACATTTACTGTGTATTTTCAATTTGCCAGAAGTCATGGATCATTATATGAACCTTCAACAGTACACTACTAACTAAGACACATAGTGGCTATTATACAAGCACTAAAATGAAGTGGAAACTAAAAAATTTAGATAAGTGGTGGAGCCAAAACTTTTCCCATTAATAATTATGATTTTTTAAAGAACAGCATCAGCACAATTATCACCAGTTCCCTGAGGACTTTATCATCTGAGAATCTKTCAAAGGAAGACTGTAATATTTTCATTGGCACAATTTTAATTATTTCATATTGCATATTTAAAATAAATGCATGAATTTTGAAATTAACAGGTTCCTATGTAATTATGAAGTTCTATTGTACAATTACAGAAAGTTGTCAGAAAATGTAACTGATAAATGAACATAAAAACTCAACATTGGCAGGTTTTAGATTTTATACCCAGCATGTCATTAATACCCTAGATGTATTAGCTACATACATACATACATACACACACACACACACACACACACACACACACACACATTTTTTTTTTTAAATTTTCAAAAGCTAACACAAAGACAGTGGTTACTAGCTGATGTTTTAAAATGAATTTTGATTTTTGCTTAGGGAAGATTACAAATTTGAGTCATAATATTTTATATGTTGGTACATTAAACTCTATGTATCCATTCCAGGGCCTTCTGTAACTACTGTTGGAGCATAGAAAATGATACCCCAAACTAATGCAGCTTCAAAAAAAAAATTTCTTTCTGACCTTCAACTGTCCTGTCTCTATCTCCTCTTCCTCCCCCATCCCCAGTCATGTCACTGAAATTGGATTCTCTTCCTCCTAATAAGACATTAGAGTCACTTTCCCCCAATGCAAGCCATAAAGCCTAAATATGTTATTCTAATTTTCCCCCATCTTTTATTGCCTGGGAGCTGGACATAATGAACTTCCCTAACCTACCTTGTCTGATGGTGGATCAAAAGATTTTTCATAACATTCCTAACATTTTTCATAACATTTCACCTAGTTAAGAAGGAGCCGCGCCTCAACAAGGAGGAAAGCCTGTCACCCAGCAAGGTCAAGAAGAATCTCAACAAGTCTTGCTGGGTTTCCCCACATATTCTATTATCATTAAATTATGTCCAATCATATGTCTACATGGCTGTCCATACTTTATCAAACATAAGCAAATAAATGAATAGTTTGCCTTGAGTTTGGGGTCTTCATGCTAAAAATTTCTATGTCATGTAAACTACATCACATAAGTTTATTATTTTTTTTTATTAACCTATCTTTTGTCATTGGGGTATCAATCATTGCTATGATGGATAAAGAAAGACATCATACCTTTCTTCCCGTACAGTACATATAATTTAAAAACCAGGTAGCCAGGCACATTGGTACATACATGTCATCCCAGTAATAACAAATTATCAAGACATTATCTCAAAATAAGAAGGGCTGGGTATTTGGTTCAGTGGTAAATGTACCTGGGTTCAAACCCCAGTATTAGTGGGGGGCGGGAATGTAATCTGAATGACCAGTGGCTTTACCTTATGGAAATAACAGCTAAAACTCAAAAGACAATTAAGAAATTTTATGTATCATTTTTCCACATCTTCCTGACTTATTAGCCCAAAACAAAAATACTTCTTGTTTCTGTTTTGTTGCTGTTGTTGTTTATAGTAAACCTAGCCCCAAAATTTTTTAATAGTGTACTTGAAACAAGACAATTTGAAAATCAAGCTGTAAAGAAAAGGATCATAAAAGAGCAAGAGAATTATAGTACTTTTGGCTTCGTATATTTAAAAAAATATACTGAAAATTGTTAATATCTGTCAATAATTTAACCCACTTGATGGCCTTTCTGAGATTCAGTTGATTATTTTTTTCAACATACAAACACACCCAAAATAGAGGAAAACAAAACAAAGATTCAAGCCCTAGAATCTAGTAAAGAAAAAAATTAGCACATTAAGATTTTTTCTGTTGACAATCATGGTACCCAACTTCAATCACCAAAAAAGAACACAGAGATAGCTTCTTTTCTTCTTTTAGTGGGATTCCTCTGTATTGTCCAAGTGAGCCTTAAACTTGAGCTCCTCCTGTCCCAGGCTTCATACTAACTGGAATTAAAGCACAACTCACCATGCCTGCCGGTAACTAGTTTTTAACTCAGATGACATTGTTCATGGAGATAGAGCTTGACATGGAATTGGAAGCATTAGGAAGAATCTCCCAAGTAAAGAATAGAGRGACTTACAGGTGAACAAAGCTGGGGGCCAGGGAATAGTCTAATTTGAGTTGTTAACAGTGCTCATTAGTGTGAGCAAAGTGTTCTAATGAAAAGATGCTACCAAGCTCTAGCTTGAACAAAGGCAGCTGGRAGCCAGTAACCATTCTCATCCAGTATAGTTTGGATTTCTTTTTACCCATGACCAGAATTTAGGAATGGGACATGGAAAAACTAGAGTTAGGAAACTAAAAAGATACAGTGTGTGTGTTGGGGGGTGGGGGGAATGCAAGAGACTCTGACAAGTCTTTAAAAATTAGCCTAATTAATTATTAACAGGGATACATAATCAAGGCCTCTACATAATAATGTTAACTGTGTTTTTTCCCCATAGTTAAAGAAACGAGCAGTTGTTAAGCAGAAAAAAGAAAGTGCTGACTTCAGAATGGTCCTAAAAGTCACTTTGTCACACTTCCAACACACTCATCAGTGCCCTCCAWCATCTGAGATAAAATCAAAATGCCTTCATGCCATCCATTCTAAGACGGCTATGGGCTTCTTTACTCAATGAGCATCACCTAAGGTGCTCATTGTAACTAAATTAAACTGCTACAGAAATTTGTGGAAATGGATGAAGACCTAAACAAGTTCTGAGTACCTTGCAAACTAGGGCCTTTCCAAGGCATAAGAATGCACACACAAATCGACATAAACCAAAGGTCATGTTAAATTGGTCCAGTTGCATTCCAAAAGGATTATGACTTGAATAAATCACAATGAATCATATTAACAAAAAAAAATGTGAATTTCTTTCTCAGTAACCCTAAAAAGTAAAAAAAAAAAAAAAACACAAAAAACCTCCTTTTCCATCATAGATGGGGATCAGAAAAAGAATGACAGGGTTACAGAACATATAAAAGATCCATTTCATCTATTGACAATAAATGCTTATTTATGTTCATTATTTCTGTCTAAGCCACAATTTTTATAACTTTAAAACAAGAATGTCAACTACACCGAATGTCAGTAGCATACTGAGATCCAAGGGAAGCAATTGCAGAGTTTTTATAAACCTTAATAAACCAGAGATCTCTTATTTCCTTTTTATTAYTTCAGTCTTCCATTTACTCAGATCTCAATCAAGCCACTGTCACAAAGGGAGAAGGATCTGTGGCTTTCTCCTGAACAAAGGAAATCACATGATGCAGCCTGGTTTAAAAAATAAAAACAAAAATTGAACTCCAGCTTTAAAAATACAGGTTTTAACCGTACCTTTGAATTGAGACATTTAAGTAGAATGTCGAATTTAATAAGCTATTAACAAATAAGGGAATAATAACAAAGAATAAGATTGAGTCATTTTACTCCTAAGGGTTTGTGAGATTTGGTCCCACTTGTTTATATTACACAGAATATTACCAGGCATGGTTGCATATGCCTTTCACCTTGGGAGGCTGAGGCAGAAGGATCACTACTTCAAAGCCACCCTCAGCAATTTAGCAAGGCCCTAAGCAATGTAGTGAGACTCTGTCCCAAAATAAAATATTAAAAGGGCTGGGGATGTGACTCAGTGGTTAAGTAACATTGGGTTCCATCCCCAGTGCCAATAATAATAATAATAAGTTATTATTACTTATTATTATTATTATTATTATTATTATTATTATTATTATTACAGAATGAGAGCTACTGACTTTAAAATATCCTCCAAGAATTTTTTAATGTCTAATAACATCAAATTATACGATTCAGTTTCAGGCATAATACTGAATGTCAGTGTGAAGGAGTCAAAATGAGTGCAAACCAGTACCTACTATACCTGCAAAGTGACATGAAAGTATTTGCTATTAACAATGATGAAAATGTCACAGGTACTTCGAGATCCATATGTACCATATATGTCTGTGTATACTCATAATTGAAGGAATTGTTAAAATGCACTGAGGGTTAGTAAAAATAAAAATGTAGCGGCTTCCTAATAGAAGACAAAAACATCTATAGATTCTGGCAATGAACGTGAATTTTCCAAAAATAATGAAAGTCTGAAAGCACAGAAATAATATAGAAATGGACCATCCAAGTCAACTCATCTTCCTACAGGCTTTAAAAAAAAAAAACAAAAACCTTGATGTGTGAAGAACACAGTAGCATTTCCGCCTTCTCAAACCTTTTTGTTGTGTTGCTCCCCCATTCCGTGTTTACTAACTGAATAAACCAACACTGGCTTCCTAGATTCTCAACAGTGAGAAAAGCAAAAGTAGACTCTAAACTGCGAAATATGCTCTTTACTATTTACACTAAACTTTGGCATGATGGCTGCACTAATTAATGCTATGATAGAATGACAACAATAAGGAATCATTTTCCTCTAACAAACCTGATCTCCCACAGACCCCTAGATAACATGAAGTAAATTCTAGATTTCATTGGTGCACTTCCAATTGCACGCCCAGGAATGCCAAAAGGCACGTCCTGATTGGATRAATCTAAACAGCCCAGCAGACAAAAAGGAAACCAACTTCAACGAAACTGCCAGACTACTTTTTCCCCCCATTGTCATTTGACAGTTGCTTTTGTAATAATTCTGGGTGGGGGAAAACAAAAAACAGCCCAAGGCTAGCATTCCTCGAGCCCGGATTACACYTGCTTTATGGCGGGAACCACACACTACCACTTGCCAGCAGTGCTTGGTAATCTGACTCTGGTACCTCTTAGAAAATATCTCATCGAGTCAGCCAAAAGCATAGGCCACCAAGTACAAAACGCAACACAAAAGCCCTCCTTAGGCCAACCGGCTGCACAGGATTGGGCTGCTTTAGTAAGTCTAACCATGCGCGCTGCGGCGGAGCCATGCGCGTTAAAATGGCCAATCACATGTCAAGGCGGGAGTTCAAATTCCAAACTTTAAAATGTTAGGGACAAAACTAAGAACACGTTCTYAGCTGTTCAGACCAGGTCAGCTCTTTTTAGTGAGATCTTTGGGTGGCTCTGAAAAGAGCCGTTGAGATTTTAAAAGCAGGACGTCCCGCTCCAATCTTACTTCTTCCTGGGGGCCGCCTTCTTGGCCTTGGAAACCTTGGGCTTGGCCGCCTTAGGTTTAGCTGCCTTGGGCTTTGGGGCCTTGGCCTTAGACGGGCTCTTCGCAGCCTTCTTTGGCTTCGGCGCTTTCACCTTTTTGGGGCTCTTGGCCACCTTCTTGGCCCCTGCAGGAGCGGTGGGCTTCTTCGCCTTCTTTGGGGTCTTCTTGGCTGACTTCTTGGGGGTGGCGGCGCTCGTCGCCTTCTTGGGCTTCTTGGCCGCGCCGGCGGGCTTCTTAGCCTTGGCGGCTCCCGCCTTTTTCGCTTTAGGTTTCGCCTCCCCGGAGGCCGCCTTCTTGTTGAGCTTGAAGGAGCCGGAGGCGCCGGTGCCCTTGGTCTGCACCAGGGTGCCCTTGCTCACCAGGSTCTTGAGGCCCAGCTTGATGCGGCTGTTGTTCTTCTCCACGTCGTAGCCGGCGGCCGCCAGCGCCTTCTTGAGCGCGGCCAGGGACACGCCGCTGCGCTCCTTGGAGGCGGCGACGGCCTTGGTGATGAGCTCGGACACCGGGGGCCCGGACGCCTTGCGCTTCCCAGCAGCGGCGCCAGCCTTTTTTGCCTTCTTCTTCACAGGTGTCTTCTCCGCAGGTGCGGGTGCTGCGGGAGCCACGGGAGCGGTCTCRGACATGTTTCTAGTCTTGCCAGAAAAAGCTAAAAGTAAGCTCAAACTGTCAGAACGGCGAGTGCTGGGCGCCGGCGGCTGGGGTTTATATAGAGAGAAGCTGCGTGTTGATTGGTTGCCGGTGCCTTGCGCCGCGCAGTGGAGAGGGTTCCTCGGCTCTGCCGGGCAGCTGTGTTTGTTGCCCCTCAAAAAAGAATAAAAATAAAAGAAACCTGGGCACGAAACGATTAGGGGTTTGGGGAAAACGGATCCCAGAGGCTTCAGGCTTCATTCCTGCCTTGTTTTCTACATCTAGTTTCAAAACCGACACCCTGAAACTTTCCTAATTCCCCCAACTCTCTTTCTAACTTCAGTCAAATTGACACAACTTTCAGGTTTTCCTCAAAAATACTRTTTCTCCCGACTTCGTTTGCAAATCTTTTTTTCTGAATATTGTTCTGTGCATTTTCATCTTCTCAAGATCATATAAATATACTAATTTTGACTCAGATATATAGGGAAATTCGGGTTTTTCGCGGAAGCAATAACACAGGCACTCCCGCGAACTGTTTGCACCAAGCTCTAGGAATTGGCACTGGGATAGAAACTTCTACATACAAGAGRGATGATTATTTTACAAAAATAACAGATTTTTTAAAGCATTTTAAATGCCACTGTATAAGTTGGGCTGATGAATCTGTTTTAGTGATTTAAACAGTTTCCAAAGATGGGAGTGAGGCACCTCCCTTCACCTTCTAGGTAAACCTTTCTAAATAGATTTTCCAAACAAACATTGAGCATTAGAGATCAATTACCCCAACTGCAAAAAAACAGAAAACTGAATCAAGAAGAATACAATGGCAGCTCTACATCATTTCACTAACTTCTTTAATATAATTTAATGACAGGCACCTTGTCATAAAACTTTTTCCTCTCCGAGCTTTAAAATAAAATGTTGTACACATTTCCTATTTCTCAAAATATACTACTTCAGATTTCAATATTGAAAATGTGAACACAGAGGATTAGAAAAAAATCACTTTCTGAAATTTCATGATTCTGACTGAGCTTTTCGCATGTGAAATATGAAATAGGATGCCACAAGTTATTTAATTCTAATTACCTGAATGTGTTCAACACTCAAGGTATTGAACAAACATGAGTGGTTTTCCTACAGYATCCCTGATAGTTTATAATACAATAGAGCTGATAGAATTGGGTTCTTATTTAACTAAGCACAAAAGCAATATTTTTCATCAAATAATCAGGTACCAAAATGAAGCCCCATGTTTGTAAAATAAAGAGAAAAACTATCTTAGTGTTCCGTTTCTTTTAATGAATATTTATATTTCCAACAACTGATTCGTGCTGGCTTTCATTTAATGATGACTTGAACATTTTGTCATGTAAATCCAAGACAGAATAATCAACATTACAGATGCCATGTCTTCACACTTAACCAATTCCATAAAAATAAGTTCTCTCATGTTTTTAGACTGTATTGGCTGGAATCAAATCTCTGGGACCTTAAACCATGATATGTAACATAAAATACAAATAGGAGTTCTAAAGGATGCCAGCTAATAGGACTGCATCAGCAGCAGTGAATAATTCTTCTAGGAAACATTTTATGGATCTATGGAAGATCATCCTCTGTAGCATCTTTCATCACTAGCAGCAGGAAGAGACATTATATAAGTACTTTTCTTCTTAAATGTATAGATTTACATTATGTAGACTTCAARATACTAATAAAATTCAGGACATTCTCAAAGACATAACAGGATTTGTCTAATAATTGCTAGAATTATTCACATATATTTCCTTAGCAGATGTCACCATTTCATTCTTGGGCAACTCTTACTGGTTCTCATGGTTATTTAGGTTCCCTATAAATGAGAAAACCTTGGGGCTAATGGACATTTCTTTATTTTTTGGTATATAACCTCTGCCTTTCTTGGAGGGCAAAAACGGAGAATTGATGTCACTAGCAAAGTTCCTAGTCACAGGATTATAGAAGGTTTTATGTGGAATATAGTTGCTCTATCATTGCTTCTTTGTAAATTGTAACATGGGCAGAGTTCCTGAAAGATGGATCACACCTGGGACTATAAATTAAAAGTCAAAAACAAGTTTCACCTATTACTTTGGTAGTTAGCCCTTAAAAAAAAAAAAAGTAATTTCTCTTTGGAAACTCAAATCTATATACAAACATTCATATCTAGATCCATAGATTAAACCTAAAATGATAGGTCATTCTCTACACTAACATTAATTATTTTTATACATGTAAATATTAGTAGCTATGGCAATCTAACACATGGCTTCACATTCTCTAACTTTTATATTAATTTCACCTCCACAATGAATGGCTAAGGTATTACTAGGTTATTTCACAGGGGCTATGTGTAAGCATTTTAAAATTCAGTGAACATCAGAGGCTTCAAGAGGTAAATATCTACACCGAATGAATGCCAAAAGCAGCAATGCAAGGACTAAAAGGAAGATGCAGTGTTGTTAGAACCAAATGTGCTTGAAAGGTCTATAGGAAAATAAGAAATCAGACTTAATGTCGCTTCTTACCAAATGGCCTTACGTGAGGATGCTGCACACTAGAAATTCCCCTGAGAGCACAAATACGGCATATTAATTATATTTTCTWAAAAAGATACCACTGCTTTTAAACTTTCAATTTTTTTATGTCTTTTTCCGATCTATGATGTCTGATGCATCCCAAAGCTGGCTTATTTCTATCACACTTGAGGAAATACTCTATATCCTCACTTGCTCCAGTGAGACTCCTGGTCAAGTACGCACCACACTCCCCTAGGATGGAATAGAAGTTCCTCTAAAGAAATCCCTTATCACAGCACAGACCAGAAGAACATTCAGCAATGAGAAAATATTCTCTATCTGCACTGTCTAATGAATAGAGGATACAGTAGATGAAGAAATTTTTAACTTCAGTTTAAATGTAAATAAGCACAGAAAGGTGGAGCRTAAGAATCAGTTCAGAACACTTCTTTTCAAACTTATATGAATGGTAAAAGCCTAATCCCAAGTAGACACTGGGTCCAGGAGATGACTGTTTTCTCTATCTACAAAGCAAACACCCACAAAGAAGGGATTTTGAGAAATCATCTTCCCCTATGATATGAAAAGCACTGAATGCAAATGAGACCAATGAGGAAGCAAATGTTGAAATGTGCCTAAAATACATACAAGATCATGATCTGAATAGAACATGACTTTGGTCACTTTGTACTTGGACAGTATTCCACATAACTTATTAGCATTGTCTGTTAAACATTAATTTGCAAGTGCCATTCATTATGACATGCTAGTAAATGTTTCTCCTAGTATAGAAAGTGGGAAGGTCAGGAGATTCAAGAATCAGACACCGAAATACCACTTAGTCAAAGAGGATCAGATCTCCAAGCCTGGGAGCTTTCATCTTTATAATACTGACATCCCTTTACAAAGTGGTAAAGAATGGAAATGCAATTGACACTGGCTCCCCTTCCTAGAGCTACTTATAAGTAGTAGGTGTATATACCTCATGTAGTGGTATAGAAGTCAGCTAAATGTAACATTTCATGAGTGATCAAATTTAATCATGACTATTGGTAGACCATAAAAACTTAAAATAGTAGCCAGGCACAGTGGCGYACACTTGTAATCCCAGCTTCATGGGCGGCTAAGAYTTGAGTATTGCACATTTGAGGCCAGCTTGGGACACTTGGTGAGAACAGTTCAAAATAAAACATAAAAGGGATGTGAATGTAGCGCAGATGTACAGCATCCCTGAATTCAATCTCTAGCACCCTAAAAAAAAAATTTTAAACTAGTGATTTCGTTTTTTTAAAGAAACTTTCAATTTAAAATTTACTTTTGTTCTGGCAACTCTCGTTCTTGTACTCAAGGGTAGTATTAGAGGCTCCTCTTTCCAAATCATAAGTCTGGACTTGCACATCAGYTGTGAGAGAGGACCCGGACAGGCACTAACCATCCTGGAGAACCCCTCCACGCAATATCCATTTCCTTGCTCCAAAGGCCATACTGCGGCAAACCAGAAAAGAGGCGGGGACAGAGGCCAGTGTTCCCGCCCGCGCTCTTTCAGTTTCCAAAAAGGTCCGCACTGGTGCTTCATAAATTGCTGCAGGGGGCGCCTAGCACCACAACTGCAGGAACGAGCTGTTAGAAACATGTCTGGCCGCGGGAAAGGAGGCAAAGGCCTGGGCAAAGGAGGCGCCAAGCGCCACCGCAAGGTGCTGCGSGACAACATCCAGGGCATCACCAAGCCCGCCATCCGCCGCCTGGCCCGCCGTGGCGGCGTCAAGCGCATCTCSGGGCTCATCTACGAGGAGACCCGCGGCGTGCTCAAGGTGTTCCTGGAGAACGTGATCCGCGACGCCGTCACCTACACGGAGCACGCCAAGCGCAAGACGGTCACGGCCATGGACGTGGTCTACGCGCTCAAGCGCCAAGGCCGCACYCTCTACGGCTTCGGTGGTTAAGCTTTTATTTGTTGGCTATCTCACAAAAGGCCCTTCTCAGGGCCACCCACATTGTCATGAAAGGCTGCCACAARTGAGTTATAGAATGACAAGGACAAGTTCGGGTAGAAAGTGCAGGTTCGTCTTTTATGTTAACTATGGCACCGATTTTTATGACAAATAGTGCAGTTACTTAGTGGTTTTGAGGGGACTGCCTAATCTGCCAGGGTTTAGMAGCTCTTTAGCCCTAATTTTCCAAGTCATTTTTCTTCCAATTCTAACTGAAGTTTATCATAACTTTGTAGCTCCCATCTCTTTCAGAGTGCTCTTTGGTAAATGAGATGCATGCAACCTTGCAGCCCTGATTGAGCCCTGTAGTGATCGGGGTCTCTTTAGATCACACCTGCATTTTAACCACCTTGCAATCGGAAGCTTGTGCAATTTATAAACTATCATCTGTGCAAAAATAAGATTAACCAGTTCTAATATTTGTAGAACACTAGTAACTATGCTTTATCTAGCATCTGCTTTCCTCCACAACCTCATCCCTAACCATCATTTCTGCAACTGGAATGCCTATCAATGAATCCTTTATGTACCATTTTATCTTCCACAAATAACTCAACTCAGGGTTTTTCAAGTTTTCCTTTGGGAGACCTTTYCTTTACCTGGAATAAATAGAAATCATCAGGCATCTCATAAATGCAATTTTTTTCAGAGTATTATRTTTTAAGTGCATACACTTTTATTTGTTCCTTTTCTAGTATTTGGAGGACAAATATTTGAACAATGTCAGTCCATATATCTTCAATATAAATTTGTGAAACTCCCAGGTTAGGGAATTGATCTCAATAACCTTTTTAGAACTCCAATTACCAGTGCTGATAAAATGCTGATATGTGGCACAAGTTTCACCAATCAGTCACACTTCTAAAAGACATCTTCAGAGCACTCTTGGAGCCTCTGCTTCTGGGAGAAAAGCCAACCTGGGGTAGTGACAGCAATGTTGGCTTCCAAGTGGTGAAGTGTGACACACCAGCAGCAGACCCCTTCTGCAGCACCCTTTTGGGTTTTACTTCTGGATGTATCTTCAGGCATGAATCTATGGCTGTCCCAAGAATACTACTACCTTTAAATATAAAGATAACCAGAGTCTGCCTACAACTAAGGATATAGAGCTTTTGGGGGAAAAAGAAGTTTTAACTGCTTTCTGGTAGAGGATTGTATATTTAAGGGACTCTTAATAATAAAACGCTTTATGCCCCATAATAGTTGTTATAGGCAGAATAATGGCTTTTCCTCTCCAACGATGCTCATGCCCTAATCCTCAGAAGTGGAAAATGTTTCCCTGTATGTTAGAAGAGACTTTTGGGGTGTGATTAAATTAAGAAGCTGAAGCGTAGGTGATGATTCTCCATTGCCTGAGTAGGCCAGTATAATCATAAAGGTCCTCGTAGAGAATGGCTGCAGGGTCAGTCAGGAGATGTGACATAGTAAGCACAGATTTTCATGCATTTTGGAAATATAAGAAGGAGCTGTACTGGCTGCCTTTTCCTCCTCAAAGAAAAACATATTTTCTCATCTCAACTTCCTTTTGTCCATCATGTGTTCTGGAAAATCCTTGTCCTGGCTCCCTACCTTACCACAAATCCAATAATTAAATACCAGCTCCTCCTTCCCTGCATAATATGACAGCCCACTCCCCAGGTATTGAGTGTGACACTCCCTGTGTATTTCTTCATACCATTGTTCACCAACCAAAGTACCAAGTCGGTGCATCTATTTTCTATCTTCTGTCTTCTTTCATGAGAACAAAAACTCTTTGTGACAAGGCCCCTTTCAGCTTGTCACTGCAACACCAGTGCCAAAGAGAGTACTAACACAAAGTGGAAATTAAGGACCTGTGAATGTAAATAAAAATAGGGGAAATTTCCCCAAAGGAAACCCAAATCTTTTCCTCTAAATCTCTCCTGCTACAATGCCAGTATTTGACTAAGAGAGTCCATATATTAGTGTAACAGTTAAAAGCAAAACCATGAGATCTGGAGGAACATACATCTTAAATCCTGAGTCTTGTTGGACTTAACCATAATCTGTGCACAAAGATATAGTTACCTGCTAAGCAGACATTAAGTAGAATGAACCCAGCCTTTTCTCAGAACACCTGAACTCCATTCCTAAGAGGCAAGATGAACTAAAACAAGTCCCTCAATCTTTCTCTGTAACTCTGGTCAAGGTCTCCGGAATCCTCAGCTCTGAGTCCACAATTCCAGATATGCATCCATTTTATTGTCAATACATTAGTATTCTTCTTCATAAGTTCTTCAGTGTATGGGTGACTGTTTCCTAAGAGTCTGAACAACTACACAGGACTAAAACACAAGAGACTCTGAGACTGAAAGCATAATACTCACTCTGGGACTGATAATGTCAACAATAAGGGGCAGGCAACAAGTGAAGTTTGGCCTGGAATGAAATCAAGGTCCCTTCCTGCCATCTTTTCTGACTGTGAGGGTCTGGGAAGAGTCTGGAATCCTACCCTACTTGCAAGATCATAAGCTAACCTATAAATCTTTCATGGGTGGTAGCAGTAGACAGAACACTCTTGGATCATGTCACACCTGGATGACATACATATCACAGCATAAAGTTAATTCTGAGTTTCTTRCTCAGACAACTGACAGGCCTGTTTCTTTCTGGATGTATCTGGCATTACTACCTACTGACCCTCCTAGGTTAACACTGATGATCGTTCTAATCTTTGCCAGGATTGCTGAAATGTCTGTTTCCATATCCTGYTCCTTTGGTTAACTTCTGAGTATGGAACTAGAACAAGGGAATGACACACATGCTCGTTACCAGCATCTTGGAGCAGGGAGACCTGCTGCTTCCATCTCTCCACTAGCAGATAGGCATCACGTTCAGTATTCAGGGAACCTCTCTTATGATAGCACCAAAGGTTTATATCATACTGTATAATTTGTTTAATTTTTAAATTTTTTATTATAAAAATATTCAATGAAAAGGAATAAAAGATGGTTTATCAATCATCTACCACCTTGATACAATTGTACAATTATTGTTTTTATGTTCCTAGATGGGCCATTTGAAAGTGTCTGACATCTGAAATTTCACACCTAAATAGAGCAAATAACTCYTAAGAATAGGGATTAATGTAATATCAATATATCAAATTTAAAATAAAAAATATAAAAATGTGACCTAAAATGATCCGATATCCAGTGCACATTCCATATTTCTCAACTGTCCCAATACCCATTAGAGTTTTTTTCTTTAGAGTCAAAGCCTCAACCACATTGTTCAACTGTACTAAACTATAACAATTTGCTATATTGGTTTAGTCTCTTTCAATCTTGAACAATCTTCCCTTTTTTTAATAGAAAATTTCTTCTCCTGTGGCATTTAACTGCACCCTTTATCCTAAGTTGTCAGAATAGCACATTGATATCATTAGATTCCAGGACTTTGTTGAAAGTGAGGCCTCTGAGGCGTCACACGAAGAAGCACCCACTTGCAGATGATTACATTTAATAGTGGAAAGTTAGATCACCTCAGRTTACAAGGGGACACATCTTTGAGCCTTTGTAAACAGCAATACATGGAGATATTTTAGCACCCTCTAAGTATATCATTTACCAACTTTCATTCTCCAGTTTTTCTTCTGTCAGAGTCAAGGCACACCTGAATCAGCTTGTCAGTTTTGTGTAATTTTCAAATCATTATCGTAAAAAGAAAAAAAAAATCATACCTGATAGTAAAAGAATACAACTGAGACCATAAGACAACCTACTTTTTTGGGTTTTTTTGTTTTGTTTTAACATTTAGGCTTCAGTGCCACTGCAGCTATTTAAATCTGCGAGGTATCTAAAGGCAAGTAACGCTGTACACATGGACACCATGGGACTAACCTAGCAACCATAAGGACTAAAATACTAAACATTTCCTAATGGACCCTACTCAGTCAAAACGTCCCACATTATAATTACCAAGCCAGTAACCAAAGTGCACAGCTGCTCCAGAGAAAATATAAGTGGCCCTGAGAAGGGCCTTCTGTGAGGTCACAGTAGATAGCGGATCACGTTCTCCAGGAACACCTTGAGCACGCCGCGGGTCTCCTCSTACCTGAGCCCAGAGATGCGCTTGACGCCCCCACAGCGGGCCAGGCGGYGGATGGCGGGCTTGGTGATGCCCTGGATGTTGTCGCACAGGACCTTATGGTGGCGCTTGGCACCACCCTTGCCCAGGCCTTTGCCTCCTTTACCGCGACCAGACATACTGATAAACAAACAAAAGACACAACTAGGAAAAACACTGCTAGTTGCAGATTCTCCTAGAACATAGGGACCTATATGAAAACTGAAAGACCGCAAGACGCGGGAAAGGATATGACTCCCCTCCCCTCTGTATCTGAAAAGGCCAAGGACTAAAAATGGGAAGATTGACTGGATTTAAGGAATCAATAAACAAATGTCAACAGTAGGAAAAGTACCTTGCTGATTAATACGTTTAAAAATGAGTTTAGTGTCGTAGATTGCAGTAGTAAAATGAAAACAAGCCCAAGCTCCAAGACACAGGAMGTCACTCACTAGGACAAAGGGAAAGACAAGATCTGATTGTGGAATATGCGTAGCTGCTCTAAATTTTTAGGCTTCAGTTGCACTGCTACATTTAAACTTATAAGTAGCTAAAGGAAGCCAACGTACGCAACATACATGTGGACATGGGTGGCGCTTTGCACCAGGTGCACCAGGGGTGTGTTTATCATCTCGATAACCGCCACCAGAAAAATGACAAAAACTGGAATGGCTCCCAACAACATACTCTGCAAAGGAACCATCTACAATAACAAAACGCAGGTTTACAAGCGACAGCCGAATGCGGCCTGAGCTTTCACTTAGCAAGCAGCTGAAAGAAATAAGAGGGGAAGATAAACAAAATTCTRAAAGGAAAGCAAGACTCCCTCGCAGCTCACAGTGCAACTAGGAACCCAGGCAGGTCGTTCGGCRGCGAGGGTGGGGGGCGCGGAGTGGAGTGAACTGCAGATTAGAACTCCTTCAAATGACCACAACCAGGTTAAGATCAGCAATGAAGGGCAGCTCCTTARAGTGAAAATGAAAGTGGCTCTTAAAAGAGCCTTTGGTTTCCGAACACTCGTCAAGAAAAAAGGCTTTACGCCCTCTCCCCGCGGATGCGGCGGGCCAGCTGGATGTCCTTGGGCATGATGGTGACGCGCTTGGCGTGGATGGCGCACAGGTTGGTGTCCTCGAACAGCCCCACCAGGTAGGCCTCGCAGGCCTCCTGCAGCGCCATGACGGCCGAGCTCTGGAAGCGCAGGTCGGTCTTGAAGTCCTGCGCGATCTCGCGCACCAGGCGCTGGAACGGCAGCTTGCGGATCAGCAGCTCCGTGGACTTCTGGTAGCGGCGGATCTCGCGCAGCGCCACGGTGCCGGGCCGGTAGCGGTGAGGCTTCTTGACGCCGCCGGTGGCCGGGGCGCTCTTGCGGGCGGCCTTGGTGGCCAGCTGCTTGCGCGGGGCCTTGCCGCCGGTGGACTTACGCGCTGTCTGCTTAGTACGGGCCATGGTGGACGGAAATACCAACTGGACACAAAATTGTTGTTCCTCTTATTTATAATGGTAACATCCTCCTGATTGGTCCGATTCTTCAAATTACGCGCCAAGAATTAAGTAACTCGATCAGGCTTGTGATTGGCTACGGAGTCTCGCGTTAGAAAACGTCAACCTTTTAAAAAGTATTCAATTAGCGCGACGGTCTTTCCTACTCTTTATAATGTTTGGTGGCTTTCTGTAATAGGTGCCTGCGAGTTTTAACCCTCCTTTGGGAATAAGTGGGAAGACCCTGAAGTGAACGTTCTGTAGATCCGAGAGGTTTAAACAAGTCCGCATTTGAACCTGTCTGATCCAACTGTTGTGTCCTTTGTCTTTTATTAAAACTTCAGACTTTACAGTCACATCTTATCATTCATTATAAGCATTCTATTTCACACTCTTCGGCCTTCCAACACTGGTATCKCTTCCAGAAACTGTTAGGGAACATTAAAATCATACCAGTATTGAAACGTACGGACCTTTTAATTTTTGAAAAACCTTTAAGATTGCTGCCAACTTTGATCACTTTATACAAGAATTATCGGTATAGATTGTCTGCCTTTTATGCATGTTCAGACCTGGATCTAGGAAGACAGAGCTTCCCACTACGTACCATTGCATCTGCATTCGGTTTTTAGGTATTTTGAAATCAAAAACTTTATTGGTAAACTATAAGATAATTTAGAATAGGTTTCACAAAGAAAGCCAATCAGAAAGTATATTTTGATTTCCCTTATTTGTATAAAACCTTCTATTGGCTGATTTGGTCCAATCAGGGATGGTGAGATATTATACCCAATTTGCATACACCGCCTACAAAAATGCGCCCTGGCGACTAAGTGCTCCTCATTCCCTTGTTTCCCCGCTCGTTCTCGSCATGCCTGAGCCAGCGAAGTCCGCTCCCGCCCCGAAGAAGGGCTCCAAGAAGGCGGTGACCAAGGCGCAGAAGAAGGACGGCAAGAAGCGCAAGCGCAGCCGCAAGGAGAGCTACTCGGTCTACGTGTACAAGGTGCTCAAGCAGGTGCACCCCGACACCGGCATCTCGTCCAAGGCCATGGGCATCATGAACTCSTTCGTSAACGACATCTTCGAGCGCATCGCSGGCGAGGCCTCGCGCCTGGCGCACTACAACAAGCGCTCGACCATCACGTCCCGGGAGATCCAGACGGCSGTGCGCCTGCTGCTGCCCGGGGAGCTGGCCAAGCACGCCGTGTCCGAGGGCACCAAGGCTGTCACCAAGTACACCAGCTCCAAGTAAGATCACCTRGAGACACTGTCAAATCCAAAGGCTCTTTTCAGAGCCACTCAAATCTCAAATGAGAGCTTTAATACTTTACTGCTATTGCAGTCTACAACGAATTGTTAGGTTGGATGTGTTCTAATTTGTTTCACCATTGGAAGGGCAGTGAGCTCAAGGTGAAGGGCAGGAGCTACCCTTATCACTTCATTAGGCCTGTTGCTCTTCATCAAATTTCGATGAATCAAAGCTTGCAACCTAAAGGTAAGTTAGCAAGGAACCCTTGTCTGGTAGGGTACCCACACCTTAAATCTATTTATTCCTTCCTAGAGAATTTTTAGGATATTTTACAGAGTAAAGAAATGGTTGTTTGGAGTTAATAAAAGTGAATGTTTGTGTTCTGTATTGGTGAAATGGGCCTTCATGGATTTTAGATACACATTTTCAGAAAATGGGGTTAGCATGATGATGAGGGTGGAGGTTTCAGGTCCTATAAAGTGCACAGTGTTGGTTAGTGTGTAGCCCAGGTGGGATTGGTATCTAATAATTAGCATTCCTTCTATCCTACCTTGGTGAAATTTCTTTTGTCTTTAACCTTGGAATGACTCCCCAAACATGCATGTTTAGAATTGTAGGACTTTGGTAAATGCCCAAGAAATGAATGTGGCCATAGAGCAAAGGCTGTTGGCCCCAATTTTTACAAGGATTTCGGTCTGAAATAAACAATAAACTCAAAAAGTGGAAAACATCAGTCTGAAGTCACTTCAAAGAAAAAATAACTGGCTTTTTATGGTGTTAAATTTAACACTTTGTCAGAAGACAAAGTCACAGTATCAAAAGATTTCAAGTCAAGGTGCTGGGGTTGTGGCTCAGTGGTAGAGTGCTTGCCTAGAATGCATGAGGCACTGTGTTCCATCTCTTGCACCAATGTGTCCATCTACAAAAAAAAGAAAAAGAAAAAAAAAGATTTCAAGTCAAAGTACTAGAGTGACAACAGAGCAAGAGACAAGGGAAGAATGAGCCAGCAAGACTTTAAGAGAGTGAGCAAGCATCATGCACCCTCAAGAATTCAAGTCCCCAAGATTACAGTCAAGGGCCACCCATGTATACTGTGACATGGCCATGTTTGATCACTGGTAGAAAGAATTTCATAGATGTCCTTAGTTCAGTGCCTTTCATTGTATAGAAAGTAATACGATGTTGACAACTAATATTGTGCATTATTTATTTTTTTAAGAAATTAGTTTTTGTTTTACTGTTCACCTGTATTATCAGATATCCCTGGAAATGATGATGTAAAATAAATAGTAATCAATAAAAGTAAAGGTCTATTTCTCGTAAAATCGTCTAACTCAGGCCTGCCTGGAATTAGAACTATGGTATCCTCAGRGAAGTCATCTCCTATGTAAGGAGCATATATCCCATGCTTACATATAATTATGTCAAGATGCATTCTACTGTCATGTAAAAGTGAAAACAACCACATTTATTTTTTTAAAAAAAGGAGTGTATCTTTTATTATTGAAYTCTTCTCAGATGTATTCTGCTTTTGAGTTCTTCCATGGAGGACCAACCAACATTACAAGAAATGGGATGGATGAAACAATTGTGAAGCAATTTATACTAAATAGGAAAGTTATAAAAAGTGTAAGTGGGTAAGCAAGAAGTTTGTGAAATGTAGACAAAACTCAAATCTATTTTTAATATGAATGAGCAGACTGAGACTTGTAAGAAAAAGGCACCTGGTTGTACATTTTGCTTGGGAAGAAAAATGGCAAGATGTGCAACTATATACTGATTGATTGTAGACAGCAGTTAGGGACTGGAAATAACATAATTGGAAAAYGAGTGACAAAGTCATTTGGGGAAGAGATACATGGATAAATCTCTTTCATGTGAGGGAAGGATGTGAAGACTTTTGTGTCCCTTGTAAATGTTCACCACAGGTGACCTCAGCAGAGGAAGACTAATAATCAAGTGGATAGAATGACTCAGCCTGTATAGCAGTCAACCTCTTTCCCCACTCACCCTGTCATTGCCCAATGGACTCTTGAACACATTGGCTATGGTGGCAGGGATGGAGGTTATGCATGGGTGGGTTCAGCCACATGTACTTCCATTCATCAAAGCTGACCTGGCCATGGCCACTACTTGCTAGCAGCAGAGACCGACACTAAGCCCCTAATATGAAATCACTCCTACGGGTGATTAGCCAGTGACCTAGTAGCAGGTTGATTTCATTGAACCATTTCCATAAGAAGAGCAGCAGCACTGGGATAGACACTTAGGCTGAGTATGGATCTGCTTTTTCTGCAAACACTATCATCTGTGGACTTACARAATGCCTTATCCACTGTGGAGATGTTCAACCTTGCTTCTGACCGAGGAACTCACTTCACAAAGAAGTATGGCAATGGACTCATGTTCGTGCATTCACTGGTCTTTCCACGTTCTTCATCATTCTGAAGCAACTGGTTTGACAAAACAGTGGAATGGCCTTTGGAAGACACAGTTACAACTCCAGGCCAGGCAGCCATACCTTGCAGGGCTGGGGCAGACTACATCTGCTCTAAAACAGTATCCGCTATATATGGTACTGTTTCTCTAGGATTCAGRGATTCAGGAATTAAGGGATAGAAACCAGTATGGTACCACTCACTATGACCCTTAAGCAAAATGTTTGCTTCCTGTCCTTATATCCTTATGCTCTGCTGGCTTAGTAGTCTTAGCTCCAGAAGGGGGAATGCTTCTAGCAAGAGCACAACAGCCATATCCCATCAACCTGAAAGTTAATACTTCCTGAGCAACAGGCTAAGAACGGAGTTATGGTGTTGGCAGGGGTGACTGATACAGATTACCATGGGGAATTTGGACTTTTATTCCAACAATTGAGGTAAAGAAGAGTATGCCTTGAATGCCAGAGATGCCTTAGGATGTCTCTTGGAATTACCGTATCCTGATATTAAGGTCGAATGGAAACTACAACCCAATCCAGGCAGACTGAGAAAATGGCCCAGACCCTTCAGGAATGCAGCTGTGGGTCACCACTCACTCCAGGTAAAGAACCAAGACCTGCTGTAGTGCTTGCTGAAGGTAGAATGGGTAGCAAATAAGGTGACTACAAATAACAGCTACAACATGACAGCTGAACAAATGATATTATAAAGAGTATCTCCTATTTTGTTAGGCATATGTTTGTGCATATCTACAAATATATTGAACAGATATCTTTGAGTTCTTTTCTTTCTTATTCTTTTGTCATGTAACATGATATTTATTTTTTTGAGAGAGAGGGATAATTTTTTTAATATTTATTTTTTTAGTTTTCAGTGGACACAASATCTTTATTTTATTTTTATGTGGTGTTGAGGATCAAACCGAGCCCCGCRCATGCCAGGCAAGTGCATTACCGCTTGAGCCACATCCCCAGCCCAAACATGATATTGTCAGTACTTTATTCTATAAGTTATTGGATGTCAAGAAAAGTGTAATCACTCAAAAAAAAAAAAAAAAAAAAAACCTTTCCCTCTATTCTGTGGAAGGAATTAATGTATTTTTGGCTATATGCAGGTGACAACAGTTGGACTTGTTATGGCCAATCTTGATTATTTACCTAACTGGACTGAGAGATGCCTAGGAAATTAGTGAAGCACTTCTGGGTGTGTCTGTGAGGGTTTCCAGACACCTTTGGTATGTGGGACAGCAAACTAAGGGCAGTACCATCCAATACTCTGGGGGCCCAGATGGAACATATGGAAGGAGCAGGAAGCCCGCCAGCACCCTCAGGCAGGTTTGGCTTKCAGCGGCCATCGGCCATCGACTGAGGACAATCAAATCCAGCTTCTTCCACCTTTCACATGGACTGCCTCAGCAATTCTCTAGGGAGTTTCCAGGTATTTAGCCTCAGACTGGGGCTGCATCTTTTGTCCCTCTTGTTCTAAGGCTCCAGCTTCTTGTATGGAGCAGCTACTGGTTTCCACAATTTTTGGCCTACAGACAGCAATTATGAGACTATCCARCCTCTGATAGTGTGAGCCACTCTAATAAATCTGGGGAGTAGGGGGAGTTTCCTATCAGTTCTGTTCCTCCAGAGAACCCTGACCACACTGACGATCCCCCCATAATATGCAGCCTTGCTTATGGCTCTAAACACTCAGCTCTCTCATTTCAAGATACTCTTCCATGTCCCTCAAAGTTATCCATCTGAATTGCCCACCTCACTCAACTACATCTATCACTCAGTCATACCACAAAGGTGAACCAGATTTGGTCCCCGTTATCTATAACATGAAACATTGTCCCATCAGGAAACTAATAATGAATACAACTATAGAAAAGCAATGGAACATACTTAAAATCGCAGAGTTTTAAAGTCGGCTGCCCAAGTTGAAACGCATGTCATCATTTTCCATCTAGGTGGCCTTAGGCATGCAGAATCATACAGTTTGTTTCCTCATTTGCTAAGTAAGATAATACAGTAATGTTCATAGTGATGATTTGACTTGTTCAAGCTCMTTTAGAGTTGGGCCCGACAGACTCTTTACTTCTATTTCACASCTCTTACTACTACTATCAAGAAAGAACAGAGCTTTTGTCATACAGATTGTAGAAAACAAGGTTTTGGGAAATCTGGAAAGGAATTTAGAGCAAGAGATAATACTTAAATGACAGACATATGACACTAACTCTTGGTCCTGAGTTCCACTTGAACTCTGTAAACCTTCAGCCATGTGGGCTCACTAGCTGTTAATCATCTCCTTCCTCACTGTTCCACAGTGGTTCTCATTCCTAGCCTCCTTTGTAGTTAGTGTGGCCTTTTCTCTGCATTTTTCCCAGTGGGCTGTTCTTTTGTATGCATTCTTCATCTTTTTTTTTCCCTACTAACACACACACACACACACACACACACACACACACACACACACATTTTTTTGTGGGGGAAGTCTACTTTCTGTCTCCCACAATATTGAGAATACCCCACACAGAGGGGACATCACCCATGTTCATATCTCTAGCACCTAGAACAATGCAGAGCACAGAGTCAGTAGTCAAAAAGTTTCACTGTCTAAGGGTATTTTCAAGATCTGAGAAACACAAAATGAAAGAAAACTGAGTCCTACTTTTCACACTGGAGCACAATTGTGACTAAAAATAATGCAGCTGCTTAAATGAGAGACAAACGGAGACTCTTGAGCTCAACTCCTCTCAGTGCCCTGCATCTCATCTACAGTCAGATCCCTTACAATGGCTCAGTGGTATACCAGATCTTTGTTGAGTGCATGGATTAATTAAGGAAAATAAAAATATGCAGAACATAATGTCCATCTTTCTTAGCCTTGAAATAAAGGCCAGGACTTAATCATCCAAATGAGTTCCTGTGTGAGGCCCTTGAGCCCAACTTTCTTCATCCTTGCAATAAGTCTTTCTTCATCCTTGCAATAAGTCTAATGACCTCCAACCCATAGAGATACTATGCAGACTAAACAAAATGTTCCTTATGAAATCCTCCAGTAGGCACTAAATTACAGAACTTTGGACTGGTTAAATCATGAATTCTTGACCACTTGGACAATGTAAAAGGAAGCTGTCAACACTGGTATCAAGCAAATAGACTGAGCAAACAGAGAGCTACACAGAAATTATAGGTGATAAATAAACAGGGATCTATCTACCTTGGATTTAACCAGATCTTTTAGTTACTGAGACCCAGGGAAACAGAGCTGGATTGCTCACTGTTAGCATAATTGCAGCCACCTTCCTTTCCCCCAACCCCACTTTATGAATACTGTTCTTATTCCCAAGAAATAGAAACTAGCCCAAGACAAAACCTACCGGCCTGGAGAGGTGCCAGTCTCTCCCTGTTCTCTCATTGAGAGATAGGAGACAAGTTACCAGCCCCTGAGATGGGAACATACTGGTTTCCCTGTTCCTCCTCTGAGATAGGGAAACTGCTTGTCTCTGTTCCCAAGAAACAAACTTGCCTTCCAGGAGATCAGGAGATTCTTATTATGTCAATCAAGACTAAAGTYGCCCCTTGCCCCTGGCTGTGGTTCCTGCCTATAAAAGGTAACATTCAAAGGAGAGTCACTGCTGCTGTCTCTCTTTGTGCAGAGCCCCTTTATCAGGCTCCTGACAATAAACCCACTTCTTATCCCAGGTACATGTTTGATCTGTCCTGCACCACTTTTCTTCCATCACCACTGTCCCTATACAATAAAGGCTTACCTGGTCCTTAAAGTCATTGTGATGCACAATCCTTATAAATCTAGTGTCTTACCAGGGCCAGCCAATTTGCCTGTGGCCATAAAGCTGGTAAGCAGAAGTACTATCAGTAGGTTTTAAACTCAACCCAACACTAACTCTTATAGACTTTTGCTGTCTCCCTGTTTTTTAGGGAAGAAAAAAATAATGCTTTAACTCTCAAATACTTAGTTAGATGCCATAAGAAGAGATTACCAAGAGAAAACTTCAGAAGACTAGTCTACATGTTTCACAGATATACATGTGAAAATGTATAACCAGATGCTGCTGGTTATCGGGGTTCTGCTCCCTCACAYGTTGAAGTCTGAACATTAGGAAAGCAAGCATAGAAAGCAGGGATATTTAAAATAGGTCACATACACTTCTCCTGGGAGGGAGAAGGGGCCATAGCCGGTGTCCTGGTATCCCAAGAATCCAGGTGCTCTTCCCTTTTTATATGTCCCAGGCTTCCTGTGTTCTCCTGCCTTTCCCCCTTACCTTTCTCCTTCCTGAAGGTGTCTAGGCTCAGGAATGCTCGGTGGGATGGACAAAAGGTGGGGAACAGGTGGGCTGAAGGGGGAAGGGCAGGGTGGAGCAGCCCAGGACACATTAATTAACAATTAGCTCCCTGTAGGGAGGGGCARYTCCTGGGACAGGTKACCTTAGCAACAGGTTGGAGCAGGGACAGGTTCTTGATAAAGGTGGTAGAAGGGCTCTGAAGGAGTGTTTCAGTCCCTCAGGGGACAGCCTCCAACTTGCTGGGTCTCACTCAAAATTGGCCTGACTCAATTTACCTATCTATACTAACTACCTAATTCTGGCTTCACTTTGAGGACACCCAGAGAGTGAGTAGTTTTAAAAGAAGTGGCTTTGAATTCAGACTTACAGAGCACCTTCAAAAAAGAATAGTAAATTTTTAGAGAAGTGCCAGCCAACAYAAGAGGAAAAGGACCAAGCAGAATTATTCTTCATCTGCTCCTGCTTAATTATCTTCAGATCCACAATCCTTGTGCCAAAGGAACATTTTTAGAATGGCACATTCTGTCTCCTACTGTAAAAAAGCTCCAGATCAGCCTTCATCTAAAAGATCCAAAAAAAAAAAAAAAAAAGAAACCAAGTCCTACTTTTCACAGTGGAGCACAATTGAGACTAAAAATAAAGAAGATGCTTAAATGAGAGAAATACAGAGACTCTTGTGCTCTACTCCTCTCAGTGCTGTGCATCTCATCTACAGCAAAAGTTAGATCCCTTCCAATGGCCTCTGTAAAAACCAGAATATGCCATTCCCAAACATGATTGTTAAAGGAATGAAGAAGCAGATACTAGTCCACTGCAGGGACACACACCTGTAATCCCAGCAACTCCAAAGGCTGAGGCATGGGGATCTCAAGTTAAAGGCCAGCCTCAGCAATTTAAACAGGCCCTCAGTAAGAGACCCTGTTTCAAAGTAAAAACAAAAAAGGTCTGGGGATGTAGCTCAGTGATTGAACACGTAACTCCCAAACTACGGAGTTAACATAATCAGCACTTATGAAAATAGGTACACACCAAGCAAAGGGTGATACAACATTCTAAGAAACTTAATAGTGTATTCATACCTTCCAATATCAACTAGCCAAAGTAATTACAGCTGCTTCAGCAAAGTGGGTGGCTCTTAGAAGAGCCTTTGCGTTTGCTAGGTAAAGGCAAAGCCAAGGGAAGGGAGCTTTACGCCCTCTCCCCGCGGATGCGGCGGGCCAGCTGGATGTCCTTGGGCATGATGGTGACGCGCTTGGCGTGGATGGCGCACAGGTTGGTGTCCTCGAACAGCCCCACCAGGTAGGCCTCGCAGGCCTCCTGCAGCGCCATGACGGCCGAGCTCTGGAAGCGCAGGTCGGTCTTGAAGTCCTGCGCGATCTCGCGCACCAGGCGCTGGAACGGCAGCTTGCGGATCAGCAGCTCCGTGGACTTCTGGTAGCGGCGGATCTCGCGCAGCGCCACGGTGCCGGGCCGGTAGCGRTGAGGCTTCTTGACGCCGCCGGTGGCCGGGGCGCTCTTGCGGGCGGCCTTRGTGGCCAGCTGCTTGCGCGGGGCCTTGCCACCGGTGGACTTACGCGCGGTCTGCTTTGTACGGGCCATGGCAGAGAGGGAGAGAAAACAGCAAAGGCTTAGAAGTTGTGCCAGAAGAGATTATCATTATATAGACTCAGAAACATTCTGATTGGTCTTCCTGGTTTTCAAAACTCGCGCGCAATAAAGCCATTGGCTACAAAATCAACAAGGTGATTGGTAAATTGCTGAAGGCTCTGATTGGATGAATTACTTCTCCTGCCAATTCCTCATCCTTTGTCTGAGACCCAGGGAGTTAACTTCCTAGATGTCTAGTTCCACTCTCCTGAAACTGTACTGTCCCTAACGAACCACTTAGAAGGTCTTGGAATATGCTACTTCTCATTTGTTTGGTGTGTGGTGGGACTAGATTCCTAACGCTCTAAGAACGGATGTATTTGGTGGTTGGAGGAGGTTCCCTCTAGGCACCTCGACTGCCCGCGCCTAGTTTCAACTTGTGGAAGCTTTGACCTTTATATAGATAGGATTTCTGGATGGAGTACCTGGGACATTACCGGSAAATGCCTGGCCCCAACGTCACTGGGCAAGTGTTAACTGATACGCGAAAGCTAGCCCAAATGGAGTGGAGATTTGCCGGATACTCTACGTTAATGTGAAGGCTGGGGCTTAATTTTCAAGAATCTTACATTGCGCTGTTTTTAGCAGTCCACGCAGCATATTCCTCGGGTACCTTTTCCACAAACTCAAAAAAATCATCTCGTTTATTTTTGGTTTCCTTTGCTAGAGAAATATTCTAACAATAAAGGACAAGGGAAGCTGTGATCTGATCCAACCCTCCATTTCGGAAAATTTGGGCGTAACTTGCATGCCCACCAGTCTATACTTGAAAGCAACTACTAGCTTTTTTCATTTTCCTTCCTCACAGCTTTCAGAGCGTCTCATACTTCAGCCACGGGTATAGCGAGTGACCTTAAGGGTTCTGGTCAGATAAAGTTTACCTACTGTGCTAGGAAAACTAGATAAAGCCTGTTACAAAGCTCTTTAAGTGGAAATGTGGATGGCTCTGAAAAGAGCCTTTGGGTCTTAAATAGCTACACAGACTTCGGTTGCTTCACTTGGCTTTAGCCTTATGGTGGCTCTCGGTCTTCTTGGGCAGCAGCACTGCCTGGATGTTGGGCAGGACACCGCCCTGCGCGATGGTCACRCGGCCTAACAGCTTGTTGAGCTCCTCGTCGTTGCGGATGGCCAGCTGCAGGTGGCGAGGGATGATGCGCGTCTTCTTGTTGTCGCGGGCCGCGTTGCCAGCCAGCTCCAGGATCTCAGCCGTCAGGTACTCGAGCACMGCCGCCAGGTAGACGGGAGCGCCGGCCCCGACCCGCTCCGCATAGTTGCCCTTGCGCAGGAGACGGTGGACCCTGCCCACGGGGAACTGCAGGCCCGCCCGGGAAGAGCGCGTCTTGGCYTTGGCACGCGCCTTACCGCCTTGTTTGCCGCGTCCAGACATATTAGAATAGGAAGGAAAGCGACAGTAACCAGAAAAACGGTGTACAAGTGCTCAAGCAGCTAGCCTTTTATACTCTCCGGCCGTTTTGCAAAGTAGCCTATGCCATGAGCTGAAGACAAGTTTCAGCCAATTAAAAGGCAGATGGTAAAAAAAAAAAAAAAAAAAACCTCTAATTTACAGGGAATGTTTGTAGTTGAAAGTTCAAACTAAGGTGGAGCTACGGAAAGAACCAATAAGAGCTAGATTTCAAAAATAGCCTATGACAGGTTAAGATACTAAAACAGCCAATGAGAAGGAGCCATTCTGCAATCCTTAATTTGCATACAAGCAAGCAAATATTAAGAGTGTTTTGAGCTCGTGGTCACAGTTTCTCTATCTTGCATCCTGATAGTGGTGTTCAACTATGCCTGAGCCAGCGAAGTCCGCTCCTGCCCCGAAGAAGGGCTCCAAGAAGGC